CACACGGAACCCGGGACGCGGCCCGAGCGATCTGGGCACCCCCTCCTCTTCGCTCCTCGCCCCATCCCCCAGTCTTCCTGGACGGGTTCCTGCCCTCCGTCTGTTCTGGCGGGCTCGGGAGGCCGGAGGTCTCGGGACCTTGGAGACCCTGGCGTCTGGGTTGGCGTCAGGGTTGGGGTTGCTGGCTCAGCCCCCTCGCCCCCGGCTTTTGCTCTCGCCCGGAAGAGGAGGGAGTGGCGGTGTATAAGGGCTCCTTGTGGTCCCGACCACGTCCTCATCCTGGCTCGGAGGCTCCCTGGCTACTTCCCAGCTGTGACCTTCAGCTCCTCCCAGGAATAGGAAAACCCGAAAAAGCCTGTGTCCCATCAGCTGTCCCAAGTCCGCAAAGCGCCAGGAATAGAACCCAAGAGTCCTAATCTCAGCCCAGCCCCTGCGGCACAGTCAGCCGTTCCCCTCCCCCTAAGCCCCAGTTCCCAAAGATTCCTCTGAGTAGCTTGCTGTGTGTGTGTGTGTGTGTGTGTGTGAGGTGGTGGTAGGGGTGCCCTCAAGGCCCTCTTCCCCTCCCTCAATCTGCTTTGCCCCCTGGGCGGTCACCTCTGACACCTCCGGGCTCAAACTCGTTTGCTCCGTCGCCCTCTATCGACCAGCAAAGGCACTCCCTTTCCCTGGGAGCTCTGGCCGGTTGGGTGTTAGGGCCTGGCCTGGCCATCTACAGGACGTCTTTGGGTGGGAAGTCCAGCGAGAAGCCCTTGAGTCAATAACCACCCCCAAACCATCTTGGTTAGGGGCTCTGGACATCAGGGGTGTGGACTATTTTGACTGGAAAGGCCTCTGAGAACAAGACTTACTATACCCATTCATTGCACAGAGGGAGACTGAGGCCTAAAGTGGGAAAGAGTCTTGCCCAAGGTCACCTGGAGGGTGGTAGACAGAGATAGGACTGTAAGGCTAGAACCAGCCTCTCTGGTTCTCACCCCAGGAATTTCTCACCTCAAGTCCCATGCCTCTAGCCTGTGCCTTCCAGCCAAGCCCAGAAAGGAACCCCCATCCTCAGTCACCCCACTCAGTATGGCTAAGCCTTCCACAGGTTGACCCTTTGACCACAGTGGCCTGGCTCCCTGAGCTGGGAGGTGGGAGACCTGGGGACGCTGGTGTTTGGTCCCACTGACTGCCCTGTGCCTGCAGGTCGCGATGCTGCGCGGGGCCTCCCTGGTGGGGGTGCTGCTGTTCTCCAAGCTGGTGCTGAAGCTGCCCTGGACCCAGGTGGGGTTCTCCCTGCTGCTCCTCTACTTGGGGTCTGGCGGCTGGCGCTTCATCCGGGTCTTCTTCAAGACCATCAGGCGCGATGTCTTGTGAGTACCTGTTCCAGCCTGGGGTCTCTCACACCACACTGGGCTCCTGGTCCCCCAGATGTCCCCAGAGCAGACCCCACGGTCTCTACCCTCAAACAGCAGCTAGGTCCTAGAAGAGCAGCCTCTGCTCCACACCCTTCCTCTGGTGATAGTACCTGGCACTTTTATCTCCAAGGTCAAAGTCTTCTTCCAGGGAGGCTCCCCGGCCTGGGGTGGGGATTGGGAGCCTGGGACCTACACTAAACACCAGGCATGTCAAGGAGACATGTGAGGCATCCTGAGGACGCTGTAGTTATGAGAGGGTGAAGAGGAACCCTGTGGGAAAAGCCTTGTCCTCAGGTTGGCACGGGTGTGAAAGGGCACAAGGGGCACTGAGTCACTAGTCAGGTGTCTTCAAGAACCCTCTTTTTTTTTGAGTTTGAGTCTCACTCTGTCACCCAGGCTGGAGTGCAGTGGCACACTCGCGGCCTCTGCAACTTCATCCTGCTGGGCTCAAGTGATCCTCTGCCTCAGCCTCCCGAGTAGCTGGGACTACAGGTGCATGCCACCATGCCTGGCTAATTTTTGATTTATTGTAGAGACGATAAGTTGCTGAGGCTTGTCTCAAACCACTGATTTCAGGCAAGCCTCTTGCCTCGGCCTCCCAAAGTGGTGGGATTACAGGCTTAAGCCGCCACGCCTGGCCCAAGAACCCACTCTTGAAAGAAAGCCAGGTGTGCCCCACAGGGACATCCTGTGCCAAAAACACCTACTCCCTTCTCTCTGCCAGGCTGGCTCTGGGTCCCAGAGAGGAACAAGGCAGACCCCGCCTGCCATGCTCAGACTGGTCAAAGAGAAAAAAGGAGACACAGGGAATCCCAGTACCATGTGAACAGAGACCTGGCAGCCTTGCTCACTACTGTGTCCCCATACCCATCACAGCGACCCATACCCAGAACAGCTAGCTCAACATTTGTCAGTCTGGGTTGATTACAAAAGGGAATATGGAGTAGTACCCCAGGAAGGGTGGCATCAACTGTGGGGGCAAGATGGCCTCCACCAGGGCTGTGAGAATCAGGGAACGCCTCCCAGAGGAAACACATTCATCTTTGAGGGGCACCTTGAAGGTGGAAGAAGGAGAGTCCAACACAGGGCACAGCGTCAGCAAAGGCATGGGAGCCGTATACTGTGGCTCACACCAGAAATCCCAGCACTTTGGGAGGCCAAGGTGAGAGGATTGTTTGAGGCTGGGAGTTCAAGACCAGCCTGGGCACATGTCTCTACAAAACATTTAAAAATTAACTGGTATGGTGGTATATGCCTGTAGTCCCAGCTTCTCAGGAGGCTGAGGTGGAAGGATTGCCTGAGTCCAGGAGACCAAGGCTGCTGTGAGCCATGATCATGCCACTGCCCTCCAGCCTAGGCAACAGAGTGAGATTCCAACACACATACACACACTCACACATGCACAGAGCCTGGACAGTTCACAGAGTTCAGGAGGTCAGAAGGTGGCAGGGGTGGGGAAGGAAATGTTGTCAAGTGATTCTTCAAACACTTACTGGACATTTCTGTGCCTGGCACAAGACCTGGAGTACAAGGTGGCGACCAAGACAGGTCAGTCCTGGTTAGGCTCACAGGAAGAAAGACTAGACAAATGAGCAGACTCATCCCTCACTTACTGTGGTAGTGGTATGGCGGGAAGGTACACCTGGGCTGTGGGAAGCCCCAGACAAGGAGTGTGGCCTTTTACGGGGGCTCTGGAGGCTTGGAAGGCTGCTTCTAGAACAGTGGGCTAAGAGGGTGGTAGGAGTTGAACTCGAGTCAGAGAGGTCTGGAGTTCGAGTCTCAGCTGGGCTGCCTTCTACCTGTGAAGCCCTGGGCCGGCCGTGGTACCGTGGGAGCCTGTTTCTTCCCCTGTAAGGAGAGAGAGGCATCCCATGATCTCTCGGTGTTTTCATGAAGCATGGGCAAGATGGTGCATGTTGTGGTGCCAAGCAGGAAACCTAGAAATGGAAGTGTTGTAGGAGCTCAGCTCTGCCAGTGAGGCAGCAGCCTGGGCTGGGGTATCAGGACCCCTCGCTCCCACCAGCAGCCATCACAGTCTTCTCACTCTCTCCCCACAGTGGTGGTCTGGTGCTCCTGAAGGTGAAGATCAAAGTCCGGCGGTACCTGAGGGAGCGGCAGACAGTGCCTGTTTTGTTTGCCTCCACGGTGCAGCGCCACCCTGACAAGACAGCCCTGATCTTCGAGGGCACTGACACCCACTGGACCTTCCGCCAGTTGGATGACTACTCGAGCAGGGTAGCCAACTTCCTGCAGGCCCGGGGCCTGACCTCGGGCGACGTGGCTGCGCTCTTCATGGAGAACCGCAATGAGTTTGTGGGCCTGTGGTTGGGCATGGCCAAGCTGGGCGTAGAGGCCGCCCTCATCAATACCAACCTCCGGCGGGATGCCCTGCTCCACTGCCTCACCACCTCTCAGGCACGGGCTCTCATCTTTGGCAACGAAATGGCCCCAGGTAAGCACCAGGGGGGCAAGTTATAGGCAGGAGTCCCGTGGGACCTTTCACAGACTACAACTCCCTTTCAGCCCTGAGGGAGGCTGTGTGGGTCAGTGGTTAAAGGCTGTGAGTCCTGGAGTCAGATGGCCTAGGCTGTGCTGCTGGTATGCTGGAGACCCTGAGGAAGGGGCTGAATTCTTTGAGCCACAGTTTCCTCATCTATACAGTAAGTCCCCTACCTACAAACCTTCAAGTTACAAACATTAATGATGCACACCTGCATTTTTTAATGTATGATTTCTCACCACCAGGTGTCAGCGTAACCTATTAAATATATACAGTATTATGTAGCCGATTGTGTTGGTTGGGTACCTAGGATAACCTTGTTGGACTTCCAAATCTGCTCTCAGAATAGAACTCGTTTGTGTGTTAGGGACTTCCTATAGTACCTACCTCATATTGTGTTATTTTATTTATTTATTTATTTTGAGTTGGAGTCTCACTCTGTCGCCCAGATTGGAGTGCAGTGGCCGGGAGCGGCCCCTGCAGCCTTGACCTGCTGGGCTCCGGCGATCCTTCCACCTCAGCCAAGTAGCTGGAACTACAGGCATGCGCTATCACACCTGGCTAATTTTTTGATTTATTGTAGAGATGAGGTCTCACCAAGTTG